GTTGCGGTAAAGACGAAAATGATGATCATGATGGTGTTTTTGGGTGGTTGTTGGACGTTGGCCCATGGTGGAGTATTGAGTTTTCTGTTCTTCTATAGGCGTTAATGGCAGAGGTGCGAGGGCGAAGGTTGAACGAAGAAGATGGTGGCTCGTGGAGATTTTCGGTGGTTGGAGCTGACTAAAGATTCAGCGAGGTTATGGTGGTCGAATGTGTCCTGGTGGTTGCCATAGACTCCTTGGATTAGGGGTTTCTGTTGAGATGGAGGATGAAAGTGGAGATGACATGGCAACCTCTGGTTGGAAACAATGGTGTGTTAAGGATCAATACGCGTGGAATGACCTGATTGGTTGATTTGGTGTGTGCAGGATTGTGGACACATGGCAGCCTCTGGTTAATCTGAGTTGTGAGTGTAGGAGGGTGTGTATAGAGAATTAGGGGTGTAAGAGAAAAGGTTTACTATTGGGCATGTTTCATAAATGGGAGTGTATTAATGAAACACTAGGGGTGTATTCAGCTGTTTGTAATTTCTTTTCATAATTCTGATTTTAGGCCTTATTTTGAAACTTTGGACCAATAAATCTTTAATTTCAGCTCCACAAATAAACATAAGAATATTCAAGAATAATTTATGCAACTAAAAATCACTTTTTACGCATCTTTAATTCCCAAACCTGATAAATCCAACTGTCGCAAATCTTATCCAAATCAACCATTTAAACACAATTATTCCACTAAAAATTTGAAATTAAACCTGAAATGTGGGCATAAAAATGCATTCATCAAAGAGCCTCACACATCTGTATGAATAAGATAAAATAGAAAAGTGTTCATTTAGTTACTATAATAGGAAAAAATGTGCATGTTTGTCTTTGAAAAACTCATACACCTCACAAGGAAGAGTATGCATATTTAGATATTTAAACAAGAAAAGAAAAATAGTTTTATAACTCAAAATGAAAGATGTCCTACATAATAGTGAAACAAATGAATTTTTTCTTTGTTGGTGATGAAGAACTCAAATATAAGAGACTAACTCCTATAGAAAGATTCAACAGTGAAACATTATTACCTTAGATAGAAAGAGGAATATGGCGCTCGGTCGTAAAAAGAAGGTAGATAATAATGGTGAAAATGACATTGACCTCACCTCCTATTTATAACCGAAACAGGCGCTTAGATGGACGAATCTCAGTCGTTGAAACAAACAAGATCCGACGATCCACAGTTCGCGACTTTTTGTTTCAACGAGTACATGAATCCTGAAAAACCCTCAATTGACACGATTAGGAAGTAATTGCTCATGAAGTTAACATTGTAGACCGATCGATTACATAGAAATCCTATCATCCCATTTAAAATGTGTGGAACCTTCTCCAACCAAAAAACCCCTTCACATATCAAGATACCAAGATATGCTCAGGCTTGGGGGCCTGTGTATAATATGATTGTCTGGTCAGTAGAAGATCGGATAGTTATGTCAGCCTGGAACCCCAAAAGAGTCGATTGGCTAGTCGAGCGGTCGGGTTAAACGAGGATTAATGCTAAGGGTGATTATGTCAAACCTAAGCAAGATTATTACTAGTTGGGCCATAATTAGGTTTATGCTAATTTGAAGTCCATTCCAAAATCTATAAATAGGTGTTGTGGTAGGTTGGTTACATTTCATGCACATTTATTGCTAGTATCGTTGAACCTTACTTACTTTGGCATCAAAATGTCTTCTGCAGGTAACTTTCCTGTTTGACCGAACGTTAGCAAGTACAAAGTAGAAGAAAAACTTTAACCTGAGCTTGAAATTAGAAAAACAAATCAAGAAAAAGAATTGACTTCAAACTCACACTCCAAAACACATAATATATTATTAACTCTATATTATGTTTTGCAAAGAATATTCTCTAATCTTACTACCAAGAAGGTTTAATAAGAAGAGTTAATATAAAAAAACCATTAGATGAGTATCTTAAAGTTTCTTAATGGAAGACATTTACAAGAAAACCTATTAAACCTAAGGCTAATAAGATTGAAAACGAGGAAACACTAAAAAAAAAGAAAAATCTACTAATTTTTTACACATATATAAAATTAATATATAAAAAAATTCTAATTTTAGCATATTTTAGATATTCCCAACAAAATCTTATATACATTTGAAAAGATTTTGACACCTTCCCATGTATATCTAAAGATTCGCAACTAAGACTTTGATAATATATTTCAATAATCAATATTCAACATTTAGATCAATATTAACACTAGTACAATAAGAGGCTATGGCACCGGTTATTTTAGTCTATAGACACCGGTTCCTGACCCGAAGCATATACAAACGAGGTAAAAGGTCCACACTTTTATGCTTCGGTTATATAACCGAGTTAAAATAATATAGGAATAGAACTCGGTTCCTTTGAACCGAGGTAGTATGCTCTTCGGATATAGGAGGATTTCGCAACCAAAAATAAGCACTTCCATTATGTGGTGAATCAGCAACTCCATATCAAAGAATAATTAATTGGTTTTTTAAGAGGCAGAGATTCTGCTTCAGGTTCAGAATATGTTTCAAGAGCCACAAGATTTTTGACCCGGTCACACTAAAATTAATATTGTCTCCAAGCACACTTTCTGCATCCTTCGTTTGTGAGAACATTGCACCAAGCCATATCTTTTCTCTTTTCTCTGTGGAACTCAAATTGAAGACATCCATATAAACAACTGGTTAGTTTCCTTTGTTGCTTTTCTAATCAAACCTCCCACAAAACCAGCACATGATATCATATCATTCAGCAACATTTGATAACACAACAATTGATGTCAATAATTCAACTTCTTCAAGATCTCTAGCACACACAAAAGACAAACAACCATCAAGAAGAAAAAGCTGCAGAAAAATAGAAAATAAGAGTGTCCCTGCCACCCCAACCGTTGCAGGCCCACCGCCCCTCCACCTCCTGCCCCCGCCACCCCGACGAAGCCTTCACCGGCTTCTGTCCCTCATGCCTCTGCGAACGCCTCGCCCTCCTCGACCCGAACAACAACAGCAAACCCGCCACTGCCCGCAAACCTCCATCCACCGCCGCCGCCACCCTTCAAGCCCTCTTCCGCCCACCCTCCTTCACGGAGCTACGCCGGACAAAGTCATTTTCCGCCTCCAAAATCGAACCTTTCTCTACCTCCTTCGAACCTCATCGCAAATACTGCGACGTTCGCCTCCGCAACACTCTCTCCGACGTTCGCATCCGCAGCCCACGCGAACCAGATCCGCCATCCTTTGGCGATAAAGAACAGATCTCCAACCTCCTCTGCCGCGAGATGAAAACAGCGAACAGCCACCACTGTCACAAGCTCTGAAGGATCTCGCCGTCACAGTCGACGTTGCGGGTCGCCGCTGCTGCGCGAACTCGAAACCCCCATGGATACAGCGAACAACCACCACTGTTACAAGCTCTCAAGGATCTCGCCGTCACAGTCGACGTTGCGGGTCGACGCTGCTGCGCGAACTCGAAACCCCCATGGGTAGCACCTCTGCCGTTGTGCCGCCATCCGTTGGACGAGAGATGAAGAACCTAATAGAGGTGAAGAATAGGGTTTGCACGAAGAAGAGAAACCGTGAATGGATGTGGGAGGAAAGTCTCGAGAGATAACCTATACACGAAGATTATGCCTCGGTTAAAATGCAAATCGAAACATAAATTCCCAAATGACATCGGTTCGTAAAAGACCGAAGCAGTAGGGCTTGTCGCATAGGGTTTTATGCTTCAATTTCATAAATAACCGAGACCGTATAGCGCATAGGCTTCGGTTCTTACTGAACCGAGGCGTATAAATTCATTTTAATTACAAGAATGCCACTTTATTTTAATATGCTTCGGGTTTTTGAAAACCGAAGCATATTAGGCGCGTTAAAAAACTATTTTTTTACTAGTGTAAACATTTGTATTCACATTTTTTGTTAATTTATATATTTAATAGATTTGTTTAAATACAATTATCTATATTATTATTTTCTACATTTAATTTGGGTAATTTGTAGTTTTAATGGAAATAATGTTGGAAGAGTAATATAGATTACGAATTGACGGGAAAGACAAAGAAAAAGCATAATTATATTATCAAGTAGTTGAAATATGTTTAGTTATTTTTAGTGGATGGATAATTACTTCCACTATATTTTTTACAGTTGTTTTAAATCCGTAAGATGATAATGTAATTCAAAATTATATAATTTTTTAATATAATTAAAAATAAAAGATATATGTACACAAAAAAGAAATATCATTATGTATAGTTAGTATAGTTGTCTTAGCTGAATTCAAATAACTTAAATGCGGAGTTATACATATATTTTGTTGAGACTATCCTTCGTAAGAACTTATATCAAAATTAAAAAAAAAAAAACTCTCAGATATGCCATAATGAGGTCTCATGATCGATATTAATAATTAATGAAACTAGTAGATACTTGGTAATTATATTATAAAAAGAAGGAAATATGTTATAGAATAGTGACAAGGCAAGCATATCTTTAACTTTTGTTACTTAGATATGATTTTAGATATCATTGTGAGTTCATTTTCAGAAAGTACACATTGGATATATGTGACTAGCTTCTGTTACCTTTCTGGAGACTCCTGATCTTCCATGAGATTAAACATCTGCTTCACTGTGGTTGATTTGTCACTTTCCTATGAACTCTCTGGGGTTTGTCTTGAATGAAAAAACTGTTATATATAAACTGCTTTTTTACCTTTCATCCTCTATAAACAACCTTTTCTTTTCTTCTCGTATTGGTATGTTCCCTTCTCTTTTCATTATTTAGTTCTGCATGTTCTTCTTGTTGTGGGGTTGGATACTTCTAATTTAGAACATACATGTTCTTTAGAAAAACAACATTATCAATTTGTATAACAGGATTAGGAATTATTATAGGAAATATAAAACCCTATTAGGGTTGCATGAGGATCAACAATCAATTGATAGAATGTTCTTTGCAGGTTTAGAAATTATGAGTCCAAAGAAATGGTTTAAGAGGATTGTTAAATTGAAGAAACGGAAGGAAGATAAATCGGAACAAGCTAAGGTATTTGTTTTTTGTTTTTTGTTTTTTGTGATCATAATATCATCAAAAAAAATCATTCATAAATAATTAGTTTAATGTGTTTTCAAGATAGCATTGTTGATATATATGTTGGTTTTGAATTCTCTCTGCCACACTATTGAGTAGGTGCAATTCGCCCCTGAAAACTTAGATGAGTCCTCCGAAGAAAAGCAAGACGAAACTCTTGAAGAGTCAAATAGCATTCCTAATGAAAATTTGGTGGTGCTAGAAAAGACAGTTCCCAGCAGGTTGATGGAAGATATTGCTGCTACTCGGATTCAAAATGCATTTCGTGCATTTCTGGTACAATATTTTATACTAATTTAAAGAAAAAAAAAATATATATATATATATATATATATATATATATAGATTCACAGTATCCTCTCTGAAATCTATCAACTCTCCCTTTGCTCCCACCAAATCATTATTTGGATTACTTTGATCTATCTTTTGAATTATCATGTAATCAGGTATATTTGCCTGCTAAAGTGATAATTAATCATTCTTAGTTTTTAATTTATCAAAGGCAGTATCATCCATTTCCTCATTAAACAGATCTCTATTCATTTTGTTTCTGGTATAAGTTTTCTCTATTCCTTTTACTGCTAACCATTTTGGTATATGATAAACATCCTCATGGTGACTACTGAGAAAAAAATAAAATCTGCACAATACTGTTGAAATCCTGTTGCATTAATCTTTTACAAAGATTATGAAAAAAAAATCAATGATTGGAACCATCTTCCTAGCACAATACTGCTATCTTAAGCCAAAATTTTACTAAGCCCTCTTCTTTGTCTATGTAGGCAAGAAGAACATTGCACCAGCTAAGAGATACTGCACTAAAGTATATTGCACCATCGAAGGTAGAATTGAAACTTGAGGCTGCCAAAGAACAGGCAGTGACTGCACTAACCTATATACATACTTGGAGCAGAATACAGGAACAGATTAAAGCTCGAAGACTCTATATGCTAACAGAAGCAAGGATTAAACAAAAGAAATTAGAAAACCAGCTAAAACTTGCAGCTAAGATTCATCAGCTTCAGGTATATTTATTACTACTGTCACCTTGATAATGTTTCTTGCTTTCAACTTTTGTTGTCGAAATCATGTGATTCTGTTGATGAAGAAAATATGTTTTGTTGGTAAATGTATGGCAGGTGGGATGGTGTGGAGGTTCTGACACAATGGAAGAGATACTTTTGAGGATACATCAGAGAGAAGAAGCAGCAGTCAAACGAGAGCGAGCTATGGCATATGCCTTCTCTCATCAGGTACACAAATTTGAACATTTTATGGTTTTTTCAGTGGGAACATGGAGCACTACAAAAATGACGTATTTTAGAAGGGGTTTTTTACCGAGGGTTTTGAAAGCCTTGGATAATTTTCGACAGATTTTCTAAAACCGCAGTTATGTTTTGTCCCTCGAGGGACAAACAAATCAGGATTGTCTTCATTTAATGACAAAAGGTACTTTTGATCTAGAGTTTATATAGGGTCAATCACCATATTTAAAAATTTAAACTATTATTTATTTTGGAGTTGTAATTCCTTTCATAATTTTGTTTCTGAAGAACTTTTTAGAGGATTGAAAGAATATGGTAAATTTAAATTATCTTTATTAATGTTTTTAATGACACTTTAGTGTAAAATCTAAGTTTGAAAATATGATGCATTATTAGTACAAAAGGTTCTGTTACCAACCAATTATATATTCGGTGTGACTTTTAAGTATTTTACAATAAAAGTAAACTAACTTGATGTTGTTACTTAATTTATGACGGTATAAAGTCTTTTACACTATTTAATATAATCTACATTACCTTTTAATGTAAAGCACCTATCAAATTAAATGTATCAAATAAATAATATTAAGAATTTTTTTACCTCAAATCCATTAAAATAATAAGATTAATATAAAAGTTTAAAGCGAATAATGAATAAAATGAGATGATTAACTATAAAACTATTGTCATGATAGATTTAAAGTTGAAACAATTTTAATTTAAATTGAAATATATTATAATGTTTCTAATTTTACTCATCAATAATATAGGTATTAATTAGGTCAAATTATTATATGACTCAACTTAACTTAATCCAACATAATTAGATTGGATTAATGGAATCAAAATCACACCAAATCAAACCAACTCACTCTTGTATAAGTTGAGCAATAAGTTAAAATGGATGTGTGGTTTCTTTTTGCACCTCTTTTTTTCTTCCTACTATATAGAAAGATAAAATGTATTTATGTATTGCTTAGATTTTTTTTCTTTTTTTAGATTGTAGAATCTAAAATGAAATTCAAAATTAGATAATCTAGAATATAATTCTAAATTTGAAAATATATTTTAAATTATACTATTCAAAATATATGTTTTTTAAATGTATTTCATATTATAGAATTTGAAATATATTTTTTGGATTAAAAAATTGAGGAGGTGAAGATAAACATTCTAACATTTTATTATAATTTTAATGAGGAATAATTTAATATTTATAAGTATTATTGAGTGTAAGAAGAGAAGTGGGAGGTGCAGGGCTAGAAGATTATAGGATTGTCCAAATCTTACCAAACTCTACCACCCCTAGCCATCCAAATATGAAATTGACGTCATTTTTTAGTTTATAAATATTATATATACTTGCAAATTCTACACATTACAAAATAATTAATAACATTCTTAATTAAAAATTATCAATCATCACCTATCTAAACGCAATTCTTCATTTTTACTTTTATTATTACATTTACAGATTTCAATTTTCAACATAAAAACCCCAAAATTACTCTTCCAAGATTATAAGAAGATTTTATTAAAAAGAAAAAAGAAAACTCCAAAATAAACATATAGATTTTCAAGTGGCTACTATTTGTTCCACTACACTACCGCTGCACCCCTAGCATAGTCCGTTATTTAAACCTCTGCTATGCCTAATTTAATCATCTTTAAAGTTATCAACAAATATCTGCATAAGTATTTATAAGAGAAGAAAAAAAAAAGAATTTTTCCCATACCTATATCATTTTTATAGAAACTTTATTATAATTCTAATTTAGAATATTTTATTTTATTTTTTCTTTTATAAAGCAATTTTTTTTCACTTAGGTGTGTTCTATCGTTTTTAAACAACTCTTATAAGTTTGCTCGTAAGATTCCAAGTTTTCTATTTTTTATTTAATTTTTGAAAATTTAAATCGTTATTTTAATTACCATAATTAAATATCGATTTAATTTTGGTG